TACAAAATTCATACCATACAAACAAACAGACATCTAGAGTACCAACCGGACGGCACTTGTATAAATACACTCTATATACACACACACTCGTATATACATACAACCTATAAACATTTCCCATAGACATCAATGAATGAATGAATGAGTAGAAATTGGATGAATGGTTTGGTTTGGTTTTGGTTGTTTTGGAATGCGGAAAGTCTGCATGACATACTCTGCAAGGCAAAACGGACCAGTCAGACAGCAAGCCAACCCAAAAGGTCTATTCAATCATCAAAAGAATTTCAAAAGAACAACATTACGCGGCATGTCGTCAGCGCCATAACCTCATCACTTGGATGTTTCCATTCATTCCTGCCCTGCAACGGCAAAAATAAACAAAACAAAAATTGCAGAAAAAGGGCGCAAAAGGATATTTCTCCTTCATTTCGGTGGTCTTCTTTAAAGCCTTTCCTCCAGACTTTGTGTGTGTGCCATTATGGATAACGGCGACGGCACATTCATGTTTTGCAAGTAGGTTGGTATTTTTTTTTCATTATTTAAGCCAAAAGCCAGTAACCCGACGCCACCACCGCCAGACTTCTAATAACAATAAGAAAACCACCAACTGACGACCAACCAAAGGCAAAGTGCAAAAATAACACATCAGACAAGCCCTCGTCAAAAAGAGGAGCAGACATGTCGCGTATTTTTGTCTTTAATATGCCTATGTTCCACCATACAATTTATGTTTGTTTTGATGCGACACAAATCTTCTTTGGGCATTCCACGCGCAAAAAGTGTGAATAGTGTTTTTTGTTGGAAGGTTTGCTGAAGCTAATATTTCACAGTTGAAGAGGAAATAAGTGAAACCGTGTTATCCACCATGAGGAATCAAGTCAAATCCTATCATTATAGCGGTAGTCTTCGACAACCTGGTCCCTTTCTCGTCTCAACCGCCTATATCAACCAGCAAATAACTTGAAGTTAGAAGCAGAGCCAAATTAGAAAAGAAAAATCAGATCAAACACAGCCGTACGAGCAGCCACAACAACAGCAAGTGAAATGAAGGAATAAAGTCCTCAAAGCATTTCGCACCTACCTGGAAATAGAGACGTTGGTAACGACATATAAGGTCATAATTCGTTACGCCCAGTCTGGACGTCATTCCTTAAAGCATTTAGCGGGAAAAAATTGCAAAAGTCGCAAAACAATGCTCTCCGTATTGTAATCGGTTGTTTCCAAATGGGCAGTGTGGGAGACCGGGATGCTGTCAATCAAGTTAAACATTCCCTGCTGGCGAGTAATCTACCGCGAAGTGGTGAACTATGTCGTTGCAACCGACTAATCCCAGATCCCCAATGATTTGACTGTGGAGCCCAACCGGTTGGTAAAGGAGCATAAGAACCAAAAGTAACTAGACTATCTGAATAGTTTTAACATTGAAACCGATATGCGTAAGCTGTGAGTAAGGATTAAATCACTCTCGAACCAAGGGAAAAAGGAGGAAACGGCGACTTATCAGAAGAGGAGTGCCGTAAAGCAAAATGTACTTCCAACTGATGCAAATGGCATTCAAAACGCTAAGTCATCTAAAACGTTGTGTCCGGATGGAATCTCAATGGTTATATTGAAATAGCTGAATACACCGGGAGTTGATTACCAGACAAAATACCACAAGGTTTCGATAGCCACCCACATCGTTTTCGAAGCCTGCAGATTGGGCCGGGTGGTCCTGCTACTGCAACAAGCAAAGGGTGGACATACAAAACGACTTTTCTCTTGTCACCAGTTGCGAAGACTTTACTCCTTTCGTTATATAGTTGCCGACCATCAACTCATTCCGTCCACAACATGCAACAAAACAGCATTGAACGGCATATCCACACATATTTGTCGAGGACTTAACCAGAACCAGCCGTACCATAGAACATTCTGGTAGCCCCAAACCAGGGCCCAACTACTTTCAGGATGGCGTAGTCGTCTAAATTTACACGATAATGCATCTCTTCAACTGCCCTGCCAAACTTCCCCAACTCAGTCTGAAGTTATTGGAGTTTGGAGTTATTAGAAGAACCGGATAATCAAAAATCAACACGTGGCATACATTGATATTACAACAAAAAGAACACAAAGGTAATTTCACCGACTCAGATCCGCGTCATTGCAAGTTCATCCCCCACTTCCTTTCCCGTCATATGGGTTATAGGGAAAAATTCAGCTTGCAAGACACCACAGCAAACAACAAAGGCACTCTTGTCATTCTTCTTTTTAGAATCAACTCTGTACCATTTAAAGGCGGATTGTTATGAGTCCAAAAGTCTCGCCCACTAATAGGAATGCAAGCTTCAAATAACTACGTTTAATAGGATCTTTTTTGGAAATACTGCCATTGGTTTTCACTACCAAAAATTTATGTGTGTAGACCCCCAACTCAAATAACTTTGCCCTGAGTAGGGTAGGTGGTAGGTGAATTAAATAAAAAAAGTCTCAAAGAGTTCAGCATTCTAATCCAAAAGCCATGTTCTGTTAGTTATGCCATGCAACAACCAAATGTGGTGTATATTCTAAAAGTGGCACACTTTCGTTCATTTCTCTGTTCCGAATGTTTTATTAATGGGTTTTCGAAATATATACGACGTATGTATGTATATACCTACACCTATTTGCAAACATACATTTAGTAGTCAGTCTATCATCCGACCATTCATAGAGAAAAAGAAAATGCTGTTTTGTGACTAATAGCACTAGACGTTTTTATGTGTCCGTCTGTCTGTCTGCCTGCCTTCTGGCTGGAGGTGGAATGATGGGATGGGTGGAGAGAAGGATGTACTGGATGGTGGTGTTTGGGTTTCCTTTTTTTTTTCATTTACATGCCGCCGCCGCCGGCCTACCGACCTTATAAAATCTTTTATTATTATGGCTTGCTGTCTGTCGGCTTCTCTGTCCGTCCATCTTGTTGCTGAACTGAACACTCGGCTGTGTTTACATCAGCTGTTTCCTTTGAATGGCTCTTTTTTTGTTTGCATTTTTCCTCTGCTTTTTGTATTCGCGCGTTCGTGAACAAGTACAAAGTGTGGTATGCGATTAACCAATTTACAATGTTTTTGTTGTTGCCGTTGTATTATTATATATTTAAATTGAAGGCACAACAACAACAGCAACGCAAACACTTGGGGTTTAGCATTTTCGCCGTTGTCTACTATGCCAATCCAACAACAATAACAACAGCAAGACACCGGCAAAATAATATCAACAGAAAAAAATGAAAAACACACAAATCCACAAACATACAAACATCATTCATCTATCTTTTTACGTATAAATTTATAGGTATAGGTAGGTATGATGGAGAGGTAAGTTTGGGTGTTCATTTATATATGGCCATGTTGTTGTTGCTGTCGTTGTTGTGCTTGTTTTGAAATCTTTCAATAAAATACTTCTGCCCATGGTTGTTGTATTCTTGTTGCTGTTGATGTTGTTTTTTTTTTTTTTTTCATTATTATTTTTTTTTTTCTGTGCCCAAGTTTATTAACCTTTCTTAATGGCTTAACGGTAGATATTTGTGACGTCACAATAAATGAATATTTTGTTGTGATAGGGAATGTACGTCCACCCATGATGTCGAGGAGTGAGTGTGATTCAAAACATTAATATGTAGGTATTTTCTGTTTTTTTTTTTTCAGTCTTCTTATGGCATGTGCATTGTATATACCATCTGTATATGTGTGTCAAATTGAAATGTGTTGTACCCAAATTGGGGAAATACGAAACTCGTACGTTTCAGATAACAATGGGAAAAAAGTATGTTAGGCATTTTGTTTATCATTTTCCAAGTTCAAGAGCATCCTTTTATAAATTGCTGCTGGTCGTGACAGATTTGAAAATGTTGGAAAGGTCATTTGCCTAATAAAAATATTCTTTAGCCTTGAGTAATCACTTGCAGATATTATTCAGATGCTCCAGTTTCTTTTTCAAATATAATACAAGGTGGCGCAAAAGTAATCATCCTATCAGAAAATGCTATACGTTTTACGATTGGCCCTTAATGTCACTTCTGTTTTGACATTTTTGTAGTAAACATAAGCGAAATACACGTTAATAAGTAATTTTACGCAACACTGCTCCAGATCACGGAATATTGATGCCTATTTAATCATCACCAAGAAGATGATTTTTTTTATCAAAAATAGTCAAGGGTGGTGAGGCCCACAATCGATATGCTGAAGGATGCATTCCCCGGGCGCCCAATATCCCGTTTTTGTGATTTGGCCACTGGCCAGCAAGATCGCCTGATTTGACCACTCCAGACTTTTTTTGTGAGGCTTTTTGAAGTCGGGGGTTTATGACAACAAGCCTCAGACTCTTTCAGCTCTCATAGACAATATCCATCAAGAAGTTTTCGCCAAAGTAATGGAAAGTGCCATAAAAAGGGCTCAAATGATAATTAATTGTGGCGGCGGCCATTACATAGCATCGTATTCTCGACTTGATGTAAAAAAAAACTAAAAGATCAAATAAAATAAATCCACAAGAAGAAAGTTTTTCATTTTTTTAAATTACATCCAAAAACATCGGGAGATAATGTTTACGCCACCTTGCATTTACATTTGTTACGTTTTTAAGCCAAAGCCTTGATTTCGTTTATTTTAAAAAGTTTCTTGAGCAACTAAAGTCCAGTGAATCTTCTGCAATATGTAATTTCAACTGACACGATATAATATTAAGACGTTAGTTTATGGAACTTGAGCGCAACATATTCCCAACAGAATCTGATGATATCAGCATCATTAATCGGCATATAGGTCATCTTATTCGTTCTACGTGGTACTCAAGTCCTTCACTTGGAGAATTGGCATTTCTTTCTAACTCTTACGACGACAACGACGATAACGTGGAACAAATGCAATGTTCAATCAATTGAAATCTTAAGCTAATCTTAATACAATCTGTAATTTTATGTGTAACAAGATCGAAAAAGTTTAATAAAAATTTAAAAATAAATCGACAACTCAACTTACCGGTGGTGGGGTTCTATACTGCTGTGAAGGTCCCAATTGTGGACTATAGGGTCTTGGTGGCGGTGCCCAACCCGTTTGTTGGCCACCATATGGTGACTGATGCGGCTGATGCGTTGGAGGTGGTGGTCCTCCGTGTTGTGGTGGCGGTGGACCGCCCTGTACTCCACCCGGTGGCTGTGGTGGTCCACCACCAGCTCCACCCTGTGGTGGCGGTTGTGATTGCGATGGCGGAGGTTGTTGTGGCGGCTGCTGTGGATCATAACTATTCGTATACCTATGCTGAGGCGGTGGTTGCGGATGTGACGACTGCAACAATGAATTTAAAGTTGGTGTCGGGCCTTGTGGCGCTTGTCCTGGTATATAGCGTTGTGGAGGTGGTCGATTTGGTGAACCAATACCGGGACCACCACCCGGCGCTGACTGTTGTGGTTTACCACCTGGTGGTGGCTGTTGCATTGGTGTGTGACCATAGCGATAGGGATCCATATTTGGATCGGCATGATGAAAACGGCCATACATTGGATGATGGCCTGGCATCGGTGGCGGGGGACCACCTAATGGACTTTGTCCATACTCAGCACCGACATCTTTTTGCGGATGTTCACCGGGATTTTGTGATGACGGTGGCGGTGGTGGTGGACCGCCAACAAGCTGTTGATGTGGTGGCATATGTTGCGGGTGTGGTGGTTGCTGGTGCATGTGATAATGTGACATTACAGGATCACCACCACCCGGTGGTCCATAGGGATGTGGTGGCATTTGTGCCGGTGTATCACTGCCATTGTTTGGGGTCGGTGGTCCACTGCCACCGGGTGTCCCCGCAGCTGGTGCCGATGGTCCGCCACCGGGTGCATTTCCATTGCCTCCGGGATTTGGATCGCCACCACTACCGCCGCTATTGCCACCATTACTACCACTTGTTGCTGTCTGTGGGCCACTTCCGACAGGACCAGGACCTGATCCAGCACCACCCTGCCCAGAGGGTGATTTTATTTTCTCATTCATTACTTATTTAACTCAATCCTTGGCGATTTTCCGTTTCTTTAGTTGCAGCTTAACAAAATATTTAGTTTTGCGAAAACCCTCCTACTCCGCTGCAACCTGGCGTAAAGGTTATCTGTAAAAATAAAGAGAGAGGGGAGAAAAATAATTACTTGTGATGTGTACAAAAAAGTTTTTGGAATGCTATATTGTTAGATTAAAACATTGTTTTATTTAACATAAATCTCCGTTTGCTTTGCACGGAAATGAAAATCAATGGATCTTCTACAAAAAAATCTTTGGGCGAAATTTTAGAAAAAATTCAAGAAAAAAAAAAAACAATTATTGTTTCGGACTGGGTAGTAGATCTTCAAGACTTTCTTCAAAAACAAAATCCTTTGCCACCATAGGTAAGTTCGAGCTCTTGGACCGCATGTCATTACTTAAGCTTGTGAAGCGATATAAAAACGGTGGAGTGGTTTGCATAAGTGGTCAAAGAGAGGTCAAATATTGACAAAGATTTTGCTTTCTGGCAAAGTGTAGTATATTTTCGTTCCAAAGTTACATCCTTATAGATCGGATACTCATTCTTTCTAAATAAAGATATTAACATATTAAAAACTGAAACTTATGACATTATGAGGGCGAAGGTGCTGAATTGTATTTGCTTGATTAAACTGGTTGATAATTGAATTTTTTATTTAAGCTTTCCATGGGATCTTTTGGTCGATGGTACTAGTGTACCAAATGGTTTGATGAAGTTCATTAAGCGGACCTGAAAGCAATTGAATTCTACACTATAAACCCCGTTTTAAAATGAAGGAATGTTATGACAGTGCTGTTCCTTTGACCAGTGCTGTTTAAGACCGAGACTAATGCAATAATCTAGAATCCGAGTTCTCACCTCACAGTCATACTTCAAACAGCAAACGTTTAATATGGTTTCAGAGCAAATGTTAGGGTGTTTATAACAGGGTGGCATGCCTAGCCAGGAGATGATTTTAGCAAACTCATAGATGATAATGGGATCTACATCTAAGAAAAAGAAAAAAGAAAAGAGCTTCGAGCACCCATAAACCAAATGGTAATTGTCTCCATAGGATCTTCTCGAGGTGGCCAGCCAAATGACCTTAGATAAATTGTCTATATCAGTTAGAAAGATCCGGGCTGACCCAAGTCTTGTACCCAAATCCGTCCCTCATGAAATCATTACTTTCCCGAAATTAGGATGAAAATCTCTACCTCAAGACGATTTCCAAACAAAACAGAATGCTATTAGCTGACTGACTCGCTATATCCCCTTCCATTCTCTTTTGAAAAAATCGAAGCATTTCTAGGCTTTTTTAATATAAAATATGGAATGTCGAATGTCTCCTCTTTTCATCACATAAACATCAAATCATTTCAGATGTTTACTACCTGGCCCACCAATATGTTGGCGCCTACCATTCTATCTACTTTAATATTACACTCTCATTTAAGCTTCTTTTCTTTGATTCACTCAAAAGTATACAATCAAAAATCAATACATTTTGCAAAGTTTCCTACACCCTACTCCTCCTCCTCATCATCCCCACCATCCTCCCCCATGTATCAGGCTTTCCTATGAAATATCCATCCATTCAATTAAATATCCATCCGCATAAATCCCCTCATTTATCGGCACTATAATCAATGGCTATAATGAATAAAGATATGAGAGTAGATACACTTTTAATTGCCAACACCCGGAGGAGCAGCAGCAGCAGCAGTAGCATATTTTGCCAGTGGAGTAGCAACAACAACAACAACAAATGAACATAAACGACATATAAACGTATTTACAGAACGAATCAACAAAAACAGCAACAACATGGGGCAGGATACGACACAACAGTAGATATATAGAAAATCGTAACGATAATAAAATAGCAATGACAGAAAAAAATAGCAAAGAACCACCACAGGAAGCAGTGACGGAGGCAGCAACAATGGCTGTAAACGATTGCAGCCGCAGCAGCAACAGCAGTAGTACCACCAACAACATTAAAAATCATGAACAGCAATTGACAACGAAGAAAAGCTGGAAAAACTAACGAAGGGAAAATGGAATGGAAAACGGCAAAAATACTAAAGCAAACAGAGAGAAATAGAGAAGAGGTGGTATGAAATAATCATGGTGTTATTGTTGATTGTCTACAATGATGGGAGAGAGAGAAAATGAAATTGAGAAATGTTCTTTAACAACATTCGAAATTTCATTAAAATCCATAAAATTAAACTAAAACCATAATAATCAAGCATGTTTTATTATTAATGTCTGTCTTGGCTGTCGGTAAACAACAAAAACACATCATTAAATTGGTATTCTCTGAAGTCATCACACCATTCAACATTCACACTCTCTCTCTCCTCTCAACCACTTCAATATTTCAAATTACAGCAGCCATGCCATTCTCCTAACCAACCGAACCACACAACTCTTCTTCTTCTTCTGCTTCATTTTATTCAAACGACCCGCAAAGTAATCCGCTCATGTACACACACACTCACTCACACACATCCATGCATCCCATCAAATAAACGAAGCAATCAACGAATGCCAGGCAAAGGCAAAATCAAGATAACGAACAATAAACAACACACAAAGATTCAAGCACAAAATACATAATAAGAAAACGAGAGAAGATAAATCCGAAATCCATAACAAAACACAATGTGAGAAATGAAATTGTGCACAACAAAAATAACAATAACAAAATACACAAGAAAAACAAGAAGAAGACAAGAAAAGGTAAAGAGTAATGGCAGAAATAACACACAGTCAGTCGACTACAATATGATGCCAGCCGCCGCCATCCACCAGGCAAAACGAAGAATAATAAAACGTACGAACAACACAACGAAAAGTACACGAAAAAAGAAACGAAGATTAAGCACACACACACACACACACTCACACAATCATCAAACTATTACACACTCTCTGGTTGACTCTGTCACATTCATTGTTTTCAAACATTCAACATACATAGTAGTCGTTGCCGTCGTCGTTGGCCGTCCAGCCAGCCGCCGACCAACCAACCAACCAACCAACCGACCGACGACAATGGCACACCACGAGCAGTCGGTATAGTATGGCTGTGACACTCTCACTTGTGTATTTATATGTATTTTGAACGGCAACAACAACAACAGCGCCAACCATTTGTCGGCCCAAACCAAGTGAGTTGGTTGTTGGTGGTACGCGGCGAGCGAACAAACGAACACACACACATCCATACGTACATGTTTAAAAAACTGCCTTTGCCATTTGTTTCTCGTTTCTGCTGTTTGTTGCAACGCGAATTTTATTTTTTTTTATTAAATTATCTCGTTTTCTTTTTCACTATTTTCTTTTGTTGTGGAATATTTTCAAAGAATATACATTTTTCCATCAATTATATACACAAAAATTTAATTATATTCTTTTCTTCTCGTTTAATTTACACAAAAACACAGCACAAACGAACGACCGACTGACTATTCCCGGACTTTTTACTTTGGATCTCTCGAAAATGAAACTCTTCTGCTGCTGCAGTCACAACAGACCCAACCAACCAACCGTCAGCAGTCTGTCAATTTTCCTCTTTCGCTCTTTGCTTTGGACACTTTTTATTTTCGTTTATTCTTCTTTGTCGTCCCATTCGTGTGTTGTAGTAGTAGTCGTCGTCGTCAGCCAACTAACTAACCAACCATTTGTAACGCAGCGCTGTATTCAAAGGGTAGTAGATGTTGATTTATTTGTAATTTTTGTAACAAATGATTAGATGCACATTACGGAGATTTGTTGGAAACGAGATGAGAATGTTTATTAAGAAGGAAAACAAAGATCAATGAATGAATTTTGCAAAAGGATTATTAATGTTGTTCTCTATCATTTAAATATGATTTTGCCCGCTGTACATCGCAAAAGGGAACTATTTGTTTTACAAAACTGGTCCAGAATGTAACGGATGGGACATTTACGATCCAATCTTTAGAGTCATGCAAAAAAAAAAAAACTATGCACAAAATATAATTTTTGTAAAAAAAAAGCCAAGAAAACACATATAGGTATTTCCTGGCCCATTAAGCGGTGAACCAAACGACCTATATAATCCACGATCCTGATCGACGCTTTCTACTCGACCAATTTGATTTTACTTGAAAAATATTCCTGTATCTAAATTACCCAGCCTGGCCTAAAATTTATAGTTTTCATCGTAAAGGTGGGAATACATAAAGCGCTTTTTACTGAGAGAAATTTAATAGAAGTGGTTCCGATAAATTTGCGTGAGTTCTGAAAAAGTCATGAATCCGTCGATCTTTTCACCATTTGAACCAATTCCTGGAGTGTTGAAGACATTTTCGAGATGGGTGATTTTTTGGGTTTTAGTTTATAAACATATGCAAATGTTTTCAACTGATATATAAAAACCGATTACGCCAATGTGAAAAACAACATCTTTTATGAACCGATTCTGCGCCAAATGCTTAATATTCCGGCAAACTTTATGGGAAACTGCTCTTTATGATGCAATGATATCACTGGTCCATTTACATGAGTTCAGATGAAATCACAAAACATCCGGTCTTATCTTCAACATTTGAATCAATTACTTGAAGAATAGCAATTTTTGAGTTTTTATTTAGACACATATTAAAGCGGCCCAAACATTTAGAATCTGAGCAAATACAATTGTTTTTCATCTGAGATTAATTTTGCATAGCTCAATTATTTTATAAAAAAAACTAACTTTTTTGAAAATGTTGATTATTGATCCGAATAACTCCCATTTATAGCTTGCTCTGATTTAATATTTTTTTTTACCAATTGCTTAATGTGTGATCAAATAAAATGAATATTTTCAAATAAGGTCGAATTGAAGCAAGTTGTTCTAACACGTTTGTAGAGAATCCGTTCAAATATAGCTATAGCACGCTTATACATGCCTTAACCGATTTAAGTTTTCAGTTACACAAAAACGGTAACTAGTTGCCGAAATCAACATTATTTCATAACAGAATATAAAAGCTTTAAATGACTCCATAAACATTTGTCAAATTTGTTTCAGATTCATATATAACTGTGACATATGCTGGGATAAAACATTATATATTTTATCCGACTTCACATGTATTCGACACAAAGCCAAATATAAAATTGTTAGTGTAGCTCCTGCTTAGAGTGATAAAGGTGCCATTGCAAAGGTTTTGTTATAATTCCATGTCAAAAGTTGAGTGAAAGTGTCGTTCCGAAGATCTAGTAAAAATTCCATGCTTAGGATCGCAAAGTGAATTAAATTTCCTGCCTATCAATCTCTTGCAAAAAAAAAAAAAAAACAAAAATTAGAGTTTAAGTGCCGAAAATATGCCAACCCATACCATTTATAGAGGTATGATTAAACTGAGGCTTATCGATCCAATAAATTATATTGATGCACCATTGCTTTAGACAGATGTACAATTGTTACAGATATTTTGAGGAATCTAAATAGGAAACTGTAATCCTGGATATGCCCAGGGCTGATCTCTTGAGACAGCTCTTGTTCTTTAGCTGCGACGGAAGTCGGAGGCTCTCCGGTGTCCGCATCAAAGTGAGTACTATTCAGTCCTGCTTGATAAGCCTGTTGATCTAAATGCACTCTCTTCTACCAACGTGTATATCTCTCTGATAAATAAGTTATTTTTTACATGCCTAGGCTGAGGTTGCCCATCCATCAGATGGTGATCGGAATTATTGGTTTTTCTAACACCTGGGTTGTTGACCCTTGACTGGCTGATGTAAAAATTCAGGGGCAATACAAATATCAAACTTAGTTACCTAGTCCAAATGCTGGCGAACAATGTCACCTCCATTGTCATATCTATGCACATATTGGGGTCCTATGTGTTATAGGATATGTGGTAATAACCTGGCAAACTCAAGATTTTCACGATTATAGCCACAATTATAATCGTGAAAATCTTGAGTTTGCAATATTATATTATACATTTTGCCGTACTTGAAACTATGTTCTTAACAAGGCAACAAAACTTCTTTGAAAACAGAAGGCTTTGTGGAGAAAAGCATCATAACATTGCCATGCAATATGGAGGAATGACTCGGACACTGAAGGAAATTCTCATGTTAAGAGTCTCTAAGACTAGAAAGGCTGAGAGCAGCTATGACAGTAGATATTTATATAAATGGCTGTGAAGTCGGCACAAACCTTCGTGGATATTCGAGGTAATTGAGGTTCTTCGGATAAATATGTCAATGGATAATAACTATTGGCAGCAATTGCAATCTGATAGATTGGTAGAGCGCTATATTATAACTAATTCTTATGTAACTTCAATTAATGTAAATTCTTAGACAACAACAACACAAAAGCCACCATTAAAAAGAAGGTAGTAAGCTAATTTTTAGGCAATATATCTCGGTAACTGTTCTTATTCAAAAATTTGAAGACTTAATACATAAAGCGCTTACCTGTCTGGCTTAAGTCATTGGCTGGCTTCTTCGGAAATGAACAAAGGAGCCTAGGGCCAAAATCGAACTAGGTCAACCTAAAACTCCTTTGTTCATCTACGAAGAAGCCAGCCGATGACTTAAGCCAGCCAAATATGCTCTTTATGTATTTCCAGCTTTAGAGTTCGGGACTGTGTTCGGGAGTTATACCATAATTTGTATTTGTTGATAGAAATTATTAACAAAAAAATGTCCAAAAGTCTCCATTTTGGTTGTACACGATTTCGTGACAAATTATAGTTGACCTTTCCAAAATGTTACAATATACGTTATTAATTTTTCTGGGTCCAGAGACATGATCGACCTGATTCTGTTCACCACATTGAACCAAAGCTTAGCTTTCAACTGAAACCCCTATTGTCTATATCGGTTAGTAGATCCGGGACTAATGCGGGCTTTGCACAAGGACTTCTAGACGTCCCCCAAGAAAAACGTACTTTCAGATTACAAATATGATGCTCTGGAGTAATACTAAGCAAGGTGTGTTCCCTACAAAAATTACATTCTTACAAATATCGGTGCTAGATCTTAGGCAAAATTATCACAGATGTGGCAACCCTATCTCTAGTCAAAGAATACTATCAACTTTTAGACTATTCCTCTCTACATCAACCACAAAGGAGGACAACAAACCACATGCATTAATAAATGGATAGATATACAAAAAAAGAAATGCAATATAGTAAAGAGATTAAACTTACGCATTCAAATCATTACTGCAAAAAGTGATCAGCAAAGACGAACAGAAGAAGGAATACTCCACAACATTAATGCAAGCAAGATTCGTTTAAGCCAAATGCAAGGTTAACAATTGTTGTTGTTGATATTATTATTCTTCAGATTTCTTATTTTCAATATTTTTGCAGTTTTGCAACAGAGCCAAGTAATTAAATGGAATATCTTGTTTGTATTTGTTGTTGTTGTTGTTGCTGCTGCTGTTACATATATCTATTTAATCTTATTATTAATAAATTTTTCTCAGTGCTTTTTTATTCACTTGCGTACATTAAAATACTTGACTGAGAGTGACGGTATAGAGAGCGAGAGAGAGGGTCTCTTTTTTCATTTGTTTGCTTCGTTGTTATTTTTTCTTCAATGTATTTTTTCTTGTTTTGTTTTCTTTTGTTTTTAACGTTTCTCAATTCTCCCTTTACATTTTTTGCACACACACACACATATACATGCACTCACACTCACGGATCGACTACTGAGGAGGTCTTTGTCTTGTTTACGTTTTTTCGCTGTGAATTAGAAAAGGATGGCGATAGTGTGTTATAATAGATTAAAGGAAAATGAATGGAATGAGATGATGGTAAAATGTGTTTTCGTTATTTTTTCGTACTTGTTCACTTTAATCTATTACAACTTTTAATGCCGATTTCATGTTAATGTTTGATGGTGGTGTTGTTGTTGTTGCTGTTTTTATTGTTATCTGGTGGAAATGGAAATGCCCAACAGAACAGAAAAGACAACAAAACTTGTTTCGCGGCCGCTTTATGTATATTCTGCCATAATGCACATTTGCAAAATAGCACGTTATTATTTACTGCTGCCGTTGATTGTTGTTGTTGTTTTTGCTAAAACACTTTTTTTTATTTACACAGAAATTGTATTTATACATTGACCAGCAGCCAGTAGGCCAAATGATCAGAACCACTGTATTGGTCTACAACAAACAGTTCAAAGGGTGAAATTGACTGCCACCGAACAGCAAACTACTCCTCCACTTGGATGAGGTTCTTTTTTTGGATGACAAAAACAAAACGCAGCAGCCCAATGTTCTAACGCCGTCCCAGTGCTGTGGCACCAATTCTGTGTGTTTGGCTGGAAGGTGGCGACGACACGATGACGTTCACAAGGAGGCAGCAAGGAACGACGATGAGAGTGAGCTCTATCTACAGACAATTAATATACACAAATTTATGGATACATGAATTACTCAATAGGTTTTCATCAGACTTTTCATTTAAAAATCAAATTATCCAACAATGATCAAAGACATTAGACTTTGTTTGACACCACTACTTTGCCATTTGGCGAGATTTTAATGAAGAAATTGAATATCTTTTCTTCCATATTTCCGCCGAGTTTCTTCACTGTATTCCATCATGGAATCAACAACGTTTCCACATAGAGACCACTTGAATTAGACTCCTTTCTTTGTTGCACAATTAAAATTTTTACAATTCTCAATAATTTTCTCAATTTTATATATCTAAATATCCACAGAATGCACGAACCGTTTTGCGGATTTAGTTGGCTTTAGCAATCATCTACACTGGCTAGCTTCGCTTTCGGACACGAATATATTTTTGCTTGAATGTAAGTTTGACTGCGATTGTCAAAGAAAATTGCTTGCCTCTTTTCTATGTGAGGTTTTACGGCTTTAATATGCAATTTTCAAATAAACTTTTATTGAATTCGATAGCCATGGGCTTATTCTTTAATTATATCACTTCTTTTTCACTTTTATTAATGTATTTTATTGAAAATTTTCAATTAATTTTGCACAACGACATGACTCCATTTTAGTCAAGCTTCGCGTTACACACAAACAAGCCATCATTCGACTCTGTCTGTCAAAAAAAATCCTCACGAGTGTGAGTGAGACAGCCATAGGGCACAGTGCGGAAGTGGTTACCCGAGGTTGATGCTATCTTCCATCTACAATGAGAACGCATAATGTTTGTCAAACTAACTATTTTAATGAAATCACTTTATAGAAATTTTAAAACGTTATAGTACGTTTACGTTGTAAAAGATTTAGAAAACTCAGTTGGTTTAAATTGTCAATTCCATTGCACATACCTCAAATAAATCTTCATAAAAAAGGTTTACCCGTTGTGCTTTATGAAGGTACACATACAGATAACAGCAAATGAAAAAAATTGAAAAACAAGTAGATATAGAACTAAAATGAAACTCTTTGGAGCGTAGGGTGACTTAATATTTTTTTAACATACATATAGTATAAACACAATATAAGTATGCTATAAATATGGAATAATAATGCGTTTAAAAACAAAATAGTATTCAACACCAATGTTAATGAACAACTATTTTCCAACCTCAATTGTCTCCATATTAGCTTTTTCGCTACATTATTTTTGTCTAGTGTTTGCATTCTTTTTAGGTGGTGTATGTGTACGTAAACGAACAACAGCTGAAAGAAATTTATATCTTCCTAAGGTCGTATCTAAATATACAAGGTAAACTCCCTGGATCTATTAAATCCAGTAGGTTACTTTTCAATAGCATAATGCTCCGTTCCAGTACCTGCAAGAACCCAATTACAGAAGGCACAAAAAAGTTATCCCCTAAATACAATTTTTTTCTTTACGTGCCCTTATCCTGTCAAAACATATACACATTTTGTGTATGTGTGTGTATTCTTTTGAATAAAAAATACATTTAGAGCAGTCATGTATAGGAGTTCTTGGAACCGTCATTCAATTGTTAATTTTGTTCATTTCTTGTTTTTTTGTTTTAATCTTTAATTTTAAGTAAGTCTTTTAGGATTAAGGATATTATAATTAATTTAGAGTAGTAATGTATGTTTTTGGAACCGTCCATGGCCCTGTTGGCTAGGTTTCTGTACAAATTGAAAATAAATACAAAATACTTTGAAATTATTTCAAATTCGGTTGCACAATAAATACATATTTTCGACGTTAATGGGCAACACATTGTACAATTTTGAGATAAAACTGCATTGTCTTACTATTTTAGATTCAATCTTGTGGAATAACCCCAAAAATCCACACTTGTTTCGGGGGGTTTTCCCCAATATAAGAATTGTGTTAAAAAAAAATGAAAAATAAACAAAACCAACTGTTGCGCGTTTAAAAGTCTATTGACACTATAAGACTCCAGCACAGAGTTGCATTTTTCCAGTTACTTCGAAGTTGAGCAACCTTTCTTATTGAGCCATGTAGGAACCCATACAATACAATAAAGAGGTAGAACAGCACAGCCCTGAGACTTTGTCCGCTTCCTGTCAGACTCATTCAAAATTATATCCAACAAGTTGTTTTCAATTTTTTATATTTTCTTCATTTTTTAAATGAGTAGCACGAAAAATTAATTAAATGCCTGTATTTTCTCTCAAAACTATGAGCCAAACTGTTCAATCTTTCGATTTCATTGCTAAACTTGTTAATAGCTTCAATATGCGAGCCGCAATATAGGTGTCTTCCAATCATTGGTTTTGAAAATATTTGGTCTGTTCCAGAACCTGCAAGAATCTACTAGGATTGAAATTTTTTCGATATCATAAAGGGAAAATCGGTTATCGTAGTAAAAACTTTTATAATCTTGCAGTTCCGGAACATACCAATTTCGTTTTCATTTTTCAAAACAATAAATACATGCACAAATGGTCTGTTTCAGTACGGCAAAAATGTAAAAGCTTTTACAACGACATCCGATTTTTCCGTTAAAATATCGGAGAAAATTACAAAACTAGTAGATTCTTGTAGGTACTGGAAAAGTGCAACAGTGAGTAAAGACAAATAATCAACTATGTATAGTTGAGTATTTAGTTTTCACGCAAGTCCATTGTCGAGTTCGAGTTTCAGAACATTGAGTAATAAAAGTCGATTATTCGATTAATCGGAAGTCGACTTACGTATCCCTAATTACTCATAGAAACAACAAAGAATACGAAGAAGAGTCAAATAACAATTACTCATAGAAACAACAAAGAATAAAAAATCAAATAAAGAATAAAAAATAAGAATTAAAGTTTTTGTTTTGTTTTCTGCAGCTAACAATTAGACAAACATGTATCAGGATTATTTAAACCAATTGCGAGTCTCAATAAGTCCACTATCTACAGACGAACTGAAGGATTTGCTCCATGACGATGAAAAACTCGACGAAAAAATTGACACGGTACTAGAAGAATTGAAGGCCCAAAAAGACAATTTGTTTGCTGAGAACCGCTCCAAGGCCGAAAGTAATATCGAAAAGGAGCCACAAATTATTGAACTTAAAGGAAAAATAGTCGAACTAAATGAAGAAGGAAAACGATGCTGTGAGGCAGTGCAAGAAAAGCTAGCTCAGATCAAGGAGAAATCCGGCGGTGTAAGCCAAGAGACAGCACTGGCTCTGTTGCAGACAGCTGCAGCCGAAAGTGAAGAGGCATCCGAAGAAATTGTTAAGAAATTCACAGACAATGAAATAGCAGTTGAGGCATTTCTTGAGGAGTTTTTATCAGCTCGAAAAAATATGCACTTACGCAAGTTGAAGGCTGAAAAAATGCAAGAGTTGATGAAGCGTCAGGCACAAGGCGGGGCAGGTGGTCGAAATATGGCAACTGGTCCAGCCTACAGTAATATTCCCTCAAGTGGTTTTTATCCAGCCCCACGTTTGCCGTATGGCGGTGGCAGTGTACCATATCCCGTTGGTGGACCAATGATGCCAATGCCACCACCTCGTCCCTATTGATAGCCATAACAATAAATCCCGTTGACCTCATAGTAGCGTACAAATCGATAGCTTTGGTTTGCAATTAATCCCAAATCAATTCACTATACCCACATTGTGTCATTTGTGTGAATTGAAATGCAATACCTTTTTTTGAAAATCTCCTCAAGCGACAATTACAATGTTGCAATTTTTGAAATTTAATTATCAGTGATTTTATCTATGATTTTATATACATCTTTTTTTTCTTAAATGATGAATTCTACATTGGAAACATAAATGTGTTATAGTTACCCAGGCCATTGTTATAAGCAAACAAGTATTGCAGAAAATAAAATACAAAGTATCTTTTATTTAAAACATTGAAATCAAAGAAAGTTTTGTTTCTTGTATGTTTGTATGGTAAGGCAACGCAACGGAGATGAGTGGAAGATTGGAATATATGTTTTATATCTATTTGCAAGTAGTCATAAGAATTTGGTCACGTCTGATTATTAGTGATAAAATTTATGCATGCATTCAATATGTTTCCAGGCGCCTTTTGATGAGCTATTTCAGAGCTGTTATTTAGTTATAAAAGCTCGGTACCTATAAAGACATTGTTATGTTTGAATAGTGCAAATTTTCCATTTCAGTAGATTCGATTTACTCTGCAGCGTAGTAAGACGTATCTGCTGATCACCTTGTACATTTTCTGTTTCCTGCACCAATTGGTACCAATCGGAGATCTATGTGCTTTATGCCTCTGCTGGTTTTCTATAGACATGTGATGTATATACAGGATGAGATGAAAAAACAGCAACCAACTTCAGACTGCTGTTAATTCTAAACTACTCGTCCGATAGCTGTTAAAATGATTCCAGTGACAGCTCATTACATTGTTTACAAGCGTACAAAAGCATTTTGGAGAGAAGTTTCCAGAAAAAAAGTTATTCGTGATGGAATTCGAGCGTGATGGTGTGATTTCGTTATATTCGGCTGTAAACCACAAGTGGATATCGCTAGAGCGCTCCAGAATTTAAATGTGAATAAATCTTTTGTGTCTCGTACCATCGCTTGTTACCGTGATACTGGTAGCGTAGCCCGACGTCAAGGAAGTGGACGGAAGAAAACAGCAACATCAGCAGTAATGGTTCGAAAAGTGAAGAAGCATCTTGATCGAAACAGTGGCCGAAAAATGGCACGTGAGCTGAACAAATCGCCATATTCCATTTGGCAAATATTGAAAAATGAGCTCGGGGTAAAGCCATTGAAATTCCAAAAAGAGCAAGAACTTACACCGCAAAGGAAAGAAAATAGATCAAAGGAGCTAAAGAGTTGCTTCGCTTGGCTGAAAGTGGTGAACTGTCGAATTTGGTTTTCTCCGATGAGAAAACATTCGTTGTCCAGTAGTTTGTAAACAAACCAAATGATCGTGTTTACATGTCAAAGAGGTCAGATGAAAATGTGCACCTTCGGTTGGCCACCAGAACTCAAGCGCCGGCCATGGTGATGGTATGGGCCGTCACAAAATGAGGTTCCTCGCTTCATTTCCAGCGCACAATGGCCACCAAAATCTCCGGATACCAATCCGTTGGACAATTGAGTCTGGAGTATTTTGGCAAGCAAGGTTGGCACTAAAAAATACCAAAGTGTCGATCACCTCAAGCTAGCGCTTCACCGGGAATGGGCCAAAATACCACAGAGCAACATTCAGGCATCGTGTGACTGTTTCACTGACCGTTTGAAGGCCATAATTCGTGCCTAAGGTGACCAATTCGAACGAATCTAAACTTATTCTTTATTTATTCTTTGATGCTACTTCCGACATTTTTTGCTTTCATTCAATAAAATTAAAAAAACAAAAATTATGGCGTTTAATTTTGTTGCAGTTTTTTATCTCACCCTGTACAGCATAAGGACAAAGATATTAAAATATATTTGAAGTGAAGAAATTATCCATATATCCTAAAGATCTTTTCCTCTATTTTCGAAGTAATGGTGCTTTGTGTCTAATCCAATGACATTTCACTAAAAATAAACGTTACTAAGAATACTAAAATGAAATAAGGCCTATTGTGAAATAAAATAATGGCGGTGTGCATGCAAATAAAGGCCACCACTTTTCTGAATAAAAATGCACATAAATGTGATTTTCTTTCCCATCCACTTCTTAAACAGACCGAGGCCAGACTCTGCATATTGCACTCGGATGAATGAAATGCTTTTTAGTTGTCGCATAGCTAGCATTTTTTAAATTAAATTATAAAATTTCTATTTTATTAAAAAATAATTTGTATGTAATACAATGTGGTTACATGCATAATAATATTGCATCATCTATTGCAAAAAGTATAAAATTTATAATCCAGAAAAAATATTCGATAATTTCATTCGATCTTTGCGATCAAATTATTTGTTTTTCTTGCCACCACCCCGTCGATAGTGTATGGCTTCTGGCGCAGCAGATGTCTTATTATAACAATCGTTTGATATACGATCTATAAAATATAAAGCCAAAATCGAAAAAAGAATGCTGAAATAGAAAAATAAAACGCATTTTATTACTCAGTACATTTAAATCCAACTTCAACTTACCAAGTAGTGGCACACACACGATGCACAATACCGGCCGACATGACTGATATAAGCAGACAGACTACAATTTCGGGAAGAAATTTACACGCGAAATCTTCTCCAAATAAAAGCATTTCAATGTTGGACAGCGATGTTAAACTGAATATGAAAATAAATGAACTGACAAAGCCTCCAAATATTGTCGTAATTTGAGACGATGTAAACCATTCGGCATAGAAACGTAACGTGCCATAGATAACTAAACTAAGAATACAGGATATGATGGCGCTTCCAATGTGGGCCTTTTGTGGTATGGGTCCTAAAATAAACAATATTTAGATTCATTAAAAATATTTCGTTTTTTACAATAAGAACAATGTTACGATAGTATAGTTCTATAGGAACTATGATACGAACGGTTGGATTGGTATTTGGGGACCTAGTTGAAACTCGAGAAATTCATATTTATTTATTTTAAATAAAAGTAAATAAAAGTAAAATGTAAAGTAAATAAATTTACTTTTTAAAGTTTCAAACTGTCGGAAACTAGATTATTTGCAACTGTTTGTAGGTACGGGACATGTATAATTGGATATTTCTGCATACAATAGAAACACCTACAATAATTGATTGATAGCATGTGTTGAATAGCTTCAACACTCCACTTGCTTATTCCTTAAATTCAGCACCTTAGCAAAAAAAGTATCTGCTGATCAACTTTTGAAAAATGTTGTCCCTGTTCTAGCCAGTATCCATCGGAGATCTATGTACTTTATCGCTCTCCTAATTTCGTTAAGACTTAGCATATTTTATTAATGGATGAAATTTTGTTTGTCATGGAGTGAGTGGACAGAGAAGCATCATCGTCTTTTATCTATCTGGCAGAGGAATTAAAGCAATATTCTTCTGTTTCCTAAATATGATGCATACAACTTTTATTGGAGCTCAATGGAAATCGTAGAAATAGATGCATATTAAAAAGAAATTTCACGTAAAGCTCGCCGAGAATGGAATGTTGTCGGTGCAAAACTTGTATTTCCATTCCCTGATACATGTCATTTACTAAAAGTGTCTTGACAAGCAAATTTGTCGATATGTCTTGTTACTTACTCTCAATCATATTTATTGAAAATTAGGACCTCTTTTCCTTTATTTTTGGCGATTCGAAGTCCTGAACAAAAACTCTTTGATCCTGATGAGATTTTTTCCGGCAATAACTAATCGCAACAACAATAAGAGCAACCACAATAATTTGAGTAATTAAGCCCATTTCAGTGCTGCCAGATTCTAATAAAATAAACAATACACTAAGAAAAATATTGTAATGGGTTAAGATTACATTACCCTACGTTTATATGTTTTCGTTATCCCGAGCGTAGTTTTCATGGTAGAAGAATATAGGTAGACGCATAGACACAGCTGCTGAGACAATGAACTGTCAAACTAATTTTGGAATTGAACATTTTGAATGAAAAATTATTGAAATTTGTAAAAATTTTTGTAAATCCCGTGTTATAATAACCTACGAATGACGTCGTATAAGAAAACATATAAATATCTACATGTATTTGAAAAGACGTTTAAAATGTTTTGACTTATCAATGTTCCCAAGCGTTGGTGCGTCTAACTGTATTCTTCTACCATGGTAGTTTTAATAAATAATTGGTATTTTCCAGAACTGCAAGAATGTAAAATGTCTTACTACTATAACCGATTTTCCCTTTATGATATTGACCAAAATGGTAAAACTAGTATATTCTTGCAGGTTCTGGAACAGAGCAAATAGTATAATAAATTTTGCATGTATGACGTGGTATGTAGACAATTGCAAAACAATTAAAAGTGTTCGAATGGAAATTTAAAATTTATATTTCTTTACCTTTTAATTATTTCTTAGCTTCTTACTTCATAATTTGTTTGCATGTCAAAAACTGTTAACATTTACTGCCATTCATGGTAAAAGAATACACAGCTTTTGGAATTGAAAATGTTGAATGAAAAATTATTGAAATTTGTAAAAGTTGTGAAAAATGCATATTTTAGCAACCTTTTACAATTTTTGACATATTAATGTTCCCAAGTGTTGATGAATCTACCTATCTACACTCTTTTACCATGCTGCCATTTTAAAATGATATACAGAAATGATGACAATCTTTTTCGGTAAGCATGTGGAAGTAGAATAAAACTTTTTTAATCCAAAAGTTTGAATGAAACATTATTCAAATTGGTATAGTAGTTGAAAAACACATGTCATAATCATGGTAGAAGAATACAAGTAGTCGCATCGACACAGCTGCTGGGACAATGAACTGTCAAACCAAATTTGGAAATGAAAATTTTGAATGAAAAATTATTAAAATTTGTTAAATTGTTCGTATAAGAAAACATATAAAATTCTACTTATTTTTCTCAAAACATTTAAAAAATGTTGAAATATCAATGTTCTCAAGCGTTGATGCACCTATCTTTATTCTTCTACCATGTGTCATAACAAAGCCCAAATATAGAAAACTTTTAAAACTTTAAACTTATTTCAAGATTAACATTTTAGAATTTTTGAAATATCAAGCGCCTAAAATATATCTATATCATATTTAATTTCTAGAAAAAATATTTATTTAAATTTTTATTCATTCAATTGAGTAAAGGAATGTGTTCTAAGTGGTTTGCGATTCTGCAATAAATTTCACTTGCGAAGTCAATTGAACCTCAGTTTCCAAAGGCACAAATAAATGAGAACAACTTATTGAAAAATAGCCCTACCTTGATTTTATTGTACCAAGCATAAAACGATTTTTTGACTTGCTTAAGTCATCGGCAGGCTTTTTAGGAAAATAACAAAGAAGCGTAGGGCATAAATCGAGCTTAGTCAACCTAAAACTCCTTTATAGAAAACATTTTTCCTAAATATCACATAGGTTTCGACATAGAAACATAAAATATTCTTAAATATATTTAATTAAAAGGTGAAAAGAGCACAATTTTTACATTGTTGTTCGTTAAGGTAAATATTGGGCATAATAATGGTAAGGTCACATCATATGCATTTCTTTTACAACATGTTTTAGGTAAAGATCCACCCACCAAGGTAATATTCATGGTACAATGAAATAAAGGTAACCTCATTTAAAATTAGCATTCCCAACTCTGCATTTTCTGTAATTTACCTTTCTCAAATTTCAATGCATTGCAACAGTTTCCATCCCTGATTTTGTGTGTATACAATGGATTTATGAATATAGATTTTGACAATGAGATGTTGTCAAATGTATAAATTTGAAAAAATTGTAAACATATGATTACATGACTTTACCTTCTTAGTTCTACCATGGTAATATCATGCTATCTTACCATTAACATTTTTTATTTTATGCCCCTTTATTTTCAAATTGATATTTTGTAGTCCTTCCTTAAATATGAGCATACAACTGGAAAAAATTTTGCTTTTATATCCGACCGGCTGTAAAGATCAAGGAAGAGTATATTCTAAAACAGAAAACTAAAATATTAGTCTGAAAAGTTTTGTAAAGATTCTTGCAGGTTCTGGACCAGAGCAAATATCACGTTTTGTTTGCTACAATGCTGGAAAATATGTCATCCTTCATTTTCTCACGAAATTGCATTAAATTCGTTACAAGAAGTTCTCCGTGTACGTCCATATAGCAGGTATTGTGAAGATTTTGGCAACATTTTTATGCTGGCAATTCTTGGGTTTTGATCCTTGAAGACGGACCTAAAGTGAAAAGTCATTGGATGCCTACATAAGAACTTAAATTACCGATAACGTTTCCATAATATGAAGGACTTGAAATCTCTATTTTTATATGCATAAGTCCAAGATCACATAATTAATCTTGGTATACCAATGATATGAAACCTAAAACTGTTTTTACGTGGAAAGAACCCCGATTATAAAAGTTTTTTTTTTTTTTTTTGTAAAATCTACCATTCGTCATACGAAAATATTTTAGATTTGAAAATAGATTTTATTTGAAAAATGGCAAGGTCGAGTTCGTCAGAAAAGGGGTTGCAATATTAAATTCAGAAAATGAGTTTACTTCTATTGTTTTGCCATGGAACCACCCATGGTAAAATTAAGAAGGTAAAGTCATTTCAAATAAGCATTAAGCATCTTTGGATTTTCTCTAATTTACTTTGTCAAATTTCACTGCATAGAAAGTAGGTTCCCATCTCTGATTTGTGTATGTACAATGGATTTATAAACAAATATTTTGACAATGAGATGTTGTCAAATGAATAATTTTGAAAAAGTTGTAAACATATGATTGCATGACTTTGCCTTCTTAAAGCTGGGAATACATAAAGCGCTTATTTGGCTGGCTTAAGACATCGGCTGGCTTCTTCGGAAATGAACAAAGGAGCCTAGGGCCAAAATCGAACTAGGTCAACCTAAAACTCCTTTGTTCCTCTACGAAGAAGCCAGCCGATGACTTAAGCCATCCAAATATGCTCTTTATGTATTTCCAGCCTAATTCTACCATGATTATAATGGCTTATGACAAAAGTTACCTATGCAGGTCCATATAAAAGCTACATTCGGTATTTTTAAGATTTTAACAGAATTTTTAACGGATTCTATTGTTTTTGAGAATTGCCAAATTCGTTTTAAATGATGGAAGGTATTGAAAATTCGACCCGGCCAAACTAACAACTTTTTTACTTGTTATCTAGACGTAAGTATATAAATTAAAAAAAAAAACAATGAACAATAACCCACAAAATATGGATTATTGATCATGTCAACGTGAAAAACGGGAATTTGTTGTAAATTTCAAATGCTCGTTTAAACACATAAAATATATAATATAACACAACAAAACCATTACCATATTAATACATTTTTAGAAAAAATAATTTCAACCCAAACTATTCCGCGTGCAATTTTTTTTCAAGTTGAAACCAAACAGCATACGTTCATAAAGTATTTTACATTTTGCAATTTTAGGAAACATGAAATATACAAATATATTATCTAACGTGGTGTCGTTGTTCCTTAACCGCAAAAAAAGTTTCCGAACCAAAGCCTTTACCGTTTTGTTAAGTACAACGGCGATTTTTTTCTATTATTAGACAAAAAATGTTCACATTGCCCTGCAGTGAAATTTTATATGAAATAATGCCATGTTTACGTTAGAACTTTTTGTAGGGTTAACCTACTTTGAGAGGATTTATTTGAAGTAAAAGTAATGGATATGACAATTTAAATCCAAATCCAGTGGGTTAACCCTCATATATATAAACGTACTATAAGGGTATACCTATCATATCGAGTTTGACACTAGTATAACTATAGAGTCAAATCAGCTGGAACTTGCTGTTACCTGTAATAATTATACCATTGCTTCAACGTTGAAAAAAACCAATTTGTTTTTGAAAAAAATAACGCACGGTAGAACAAAAAATTTTACATTTTTTACCGTTTTTCTTTTCAATAATTTTATTCCGTACGTACGTCGCTGGCGTACGTCGGGTTTAGGTATGGGCCCAACGTCATTTTAAAATTCTTCCCCAAATGTTAGAATTCACATATGGCAACTATCTCACAAGTGGTGGAAGAAGAAGCTGCGATGTCCTTTATTCTCGTGCATTGACACTAGAAAATAAAAATAAAAATCTTTTGTTCAGTTTTTTCATATAAAAAGAGGAAGTTTAGTACATTACATTTTAATAGTAAATTATACTCTTTTCTGTGGACAGTAACAATGGTTCCCCTGAGTCAAGCCTGTATTGAGGAGGCAATACAAAGTGAGATAACTTTAAAACAAAGTGCCGAACAAATAGCTAAAGGTTGGTTAAATATAATGTGGACAGATGAGTGGGTGGTGGGCTGATAGTAAAATTGATAAGCGATTCTATTCCAGATATAGAAAACAAAACATACGATGTGGTTAAGCTATGCGAAAGTTTGCAGTTCTGTTTGACCTCTAGCAGTGTGGAGAAACGTGTACAGGGCACCCTCTTGTACTCACGAGTCTTAGCCCTGTTACCAAATGATCATCTCAATAGCGATCAGGTTGAGGTATTGTCAAACTTTTACGCAGCCCGCCTTAAGGACCACCATAATGTTGTACCCGCCGTCATAGAGGGCATCGATGCCCTGGTTCACATGAAACACTGTCCAGGAAAATGCGTAGTTATGTTACTGCAGAATTTCTTCTTGAACACAACGTGCCAATCACAGCTACGAAGTGACCGTTTTCGTTTATTCCAGCTTTTTAAATATATATCGGAAAAATATGTTGAAGGTAAGTGAGGGGTTGATATATATTGTTTGATTTCTTTTTAAACAGTACACTATATATTTCGCAGAACTTAAAGCAATGTCCGGCGATTTTATATATGGAATAATAAATTCCTTAGATGGGGAACGTGATCCAAGGAATTTGGACTTCATATTTACATTTATGCCGAACTTTATACAAACATATCCCTTGCTGCATTTAAGTGAAGAGATGTTTGAAGTATTTGCCTGTTATTTTCCAATTGATTTTAATCCCACCAAAAACGACCCTGATACAATAACAAGAGAAAACTTGGCTTCGAAATTGACCCAATGTCTTGTTGCCTCGCCGGAATTCGTTGAATGGACTGTAGCACTGGCGTTGGAAAAATTGGAAAGTGATTTGGTTGTGGCCAAATGTGATTCGTTAGAGTTGCTGGTGAGTTGGGTTTAAGTATGATATATTCGCTTAAGTTTGTAAGTTTCAATTAGTAATCCTATTTTGTCGTTTTCACCTTTTCAGTATCAAGCAGCACTGAAGTTTCCCTGCGATCTTTTAGAATCGCACTTTGAACAAATATGGATTGCATTAAAGAATGAATTATTTCCTGGTTCCGAAAACACTGATGTCGTATCATATGCCTTGCGTACCTTACGCTGTATTCTGGAACAAGCGACAGCTGCTTCAAAGACCGACATTAGCCACAATTACCAAACTATTATTTTGGGAACCATTTTGCCGCATCTAAGTGATGTTAACCATCGCCTATTTAATTCTGCCTCTACCATTGCTTTAGTTTGTGTAGCTGGAGATCCGGTATTTGCAAGCGAAAAAATCCTTAACACCTTCCTAATTAAGCTAAATGAGAATCCTGCCACATTAAATGATGACCAATGCATACGCATTTATAATATTATTGCACAAATGTTCAATATAATTTCACTGAAGGGAGAAACCATATTTAAAGCTGTCAATACAGAATTGTGCTCACAAATGCATTCCCACATCATTGCCAGCTTAAAAAAAGTAGATGCTGAAACAGACAGTGCGAATTTAAATCAAGATTTATTAAAAGTTTCTTTGGTAGTGCTGATAGAGTGTGCACCAATTATCAGTGAAGCCAATAGGGTAATGGTTTATAGAATTTTGATGAGCCTGTTGACAAATGAATCGATTGATTTGGAACAAACACAGCCCTTGTTGGAACGTTTAGGGGCCTTGTATCCCATCGAACTGCAATCGAATTGTATTGATGGATGTATAAAAAATTTTGGTTTGTTTTCAAATTTTGTGAAAGAAAAAATATTGTCAAATCTGATACCGCTTGTTAGACAAATTGCCTTTACCCAACGAATTTTGGATTTACTCTATCAGCAAATATTTGGAGAGGGTGTACCCAATGATGTGAGACTTTTATCGTTGCAAGCTTTAAACTGCTTGCTAAAGACCGAAGATGAGCGTTTTGTTCAAGATCTCCAAAACAACAGTGAACTTATAGACAAACTTGTACAGTTGGCGCTAAATAACAAAGAATTAAACTCCGAGGTTTTAACACAAATTGCCCGCGCTCTAAGTGCCATTGTTCAAACTTTATCAATTGCCGAACAATATATGATCGCCACAAGTTATTTGTGCAGTTTAAATTTACAACTTGAATCAGATTTGTATGTGGCAGAAGGACTTTTGGGCTATCTGCATAAAGACATAAGTCTCGACGATCATTTTGAACGTCTGTTGAATGACCTTACCCAGCTGTCACTACAATCGGAAAATGAGGGAATGCGAGAGGTTGCCCATCATCTGTTATGTAGTTTGGTGAATAAGATCGAGTACAATGACAATAATCGTGGCATAATAAAACGCACCATCCATAAACTGGCGGAGGCCATTAAAAAGGAAAATAAGAAGGCAGTTGAAGCATTGTCATGGCTAGGCAAGGGTCTGGTTATGCGAGGTAGTAATGAAGCTGGTGAAATTGTTGAAACAGTAAGTGACTTTTTTGTTGATTATTTGTCATATTTCTTTGAGGTTAAATCTTTATTCGATTTTTTTTAGTTATCTGAACTCTTGGACCACCCATCGTTGTCCAACGCTGCCTCACTAGCATTTGAAATTATATCTTCTGAGTATCCTCAATTACACCTGCCACAAGTGAAATTTTTATTCCAACAAAAGTTCTTCCACATGATTTTAGCGAAATTGGGCCATAAACTGGAGCAGTATTGCGAGAATCATTTGACTGCATTCGTTTATGTATTGAAGGCCACGCCGCATGCGGTTTTAAAAATGAACATTGAAAAGGTAAAATTCCTACTTTTACAATTACTTAAAATAAGAACCGCACATTTTATGAATAATGAATACGCAATTAAGTAATTGTTCACTACCCATCAATTTAATTACAGATTGGACCAATTCTTTTCAAATGTCTGGAGTCGGGAAATGTTCATACACAAGGAATATCTTTGCAAATTTGTGAAAACTTTGTTAAACATCAGGACGATTATTTCCGCAGCCACTTGAACCACTTGATTCCAGCATCGCTGAAGCTAACAACGTGTAATCATTCGATGGTGAGTATCACACTGCACTTTAAATTTTAAAAAATAACAATTTCGTTACCTATTTTCATTACAGAAATTAAGAATATCTGCCTTGAAACTTCTATACGATATTACGAAATATCCTACTTTTGTTCTGCTACCTTATAAAGTTGATGTTGTATTGGATTTGGCTACAGCTCTCGATGATCCCAAACGCTTAGTACGAAATGCTGCTGTACAGGCTCGCAATGCTTGGTATATGATAGGAGCGCCAAAGACCGAATAATCGACAATTTTGATAGCCATTTAAGATAGATAATACATGGAAACTAAAATATTATATATGTATGTATATAAGAGTATTTTTCTATATAGAATTGATTATTGTTTAGTTTTATAAAGAGAGAACAAACGACACTGTGGAATAAATGTAAGCTCCAACACAATGTGGTTTTTGTTTTCTATGCGTTTATTTGATTTCGTCATCATCAGTAGGGGTGGTCACATTGAGATCTGGCCATTAATGCACATTTTTGGGCCTTTTGTACAACTTCGGGGCAGCGAAGTTTACGCACCAGACGGCAGTCTTGAAAATATCCCTCATTTCTTGGAAACCCATGCGTGAAGTCCTTATAAGTAACCAATCCATGGCCCCACACTTTTCCACCACGAAATTCTCCCTCGAATTTCATTCCATCGGCACGCCAAAATATGCCAAATCCATGGAACCAGCCATTCATGAATTCACCTTCGTATCTGGAAATTTACACTGAAATGTTGTTTCATAACACAGAATAAAATAAATGAGAACATTACTTGGCTCCATCTGCAAACCACATGCAGCCCAAACCATGACTCATGCCTTCAAAAAATTGACCATCATATCGGGTACCATCGGCAAATTGTAAATGACCAACTCCATGTTTCATGCCACGTTGATTCCATTCGCCAATATAACGTGTTGAATCTTCATAACGCCAGCCACCCACCTTCACCGCTCCCTGTGCGGCTGAAGATTCCATGGCCATGCTTGAGCCTCTTCCTGCAAAACCAATACATAATATTCAAAATATGGATTGAGATTCTGTCCAGGTTTTTGCTATTATTACCCTGTTGACCCTCATCATAATCATCCATATTTAACTATCACTATTTCCATACAACAATAAACACTACGAATTTTACAAATATTTTTCTTCGTATACACTATATTCCAGTGGGTTTTCTTCGTTCAATGGCCAATTGTTTACTAGTCAATGAAGTGTTTTGTTTGGCTTCATCATTTCGCATTGGACGTGTTTGTTCTGTTTTCCAAATCTAATTAACATGATTTTCTACTGTCTTTTGGAATGTGACCATGTGCTTTGTTTTGTTTAGAAAGTCCACTTGTTGCTTTCACTCGGGGTTTTCGCGCCGAACAACTGAATAGCCTGCATTCGGGGAAATAATAACCATTTTTCCTTATACTTGTAACGTCGAAAAGAAGATGGGACATAAAATGTATTTGAAGATGGCAATAAAATGCAGAGCTAATGTTGTTTGGAAACTTAAAAAAAGAATATCTGAAATAATGGCTCCCTTGCTGATTCCAAAAAGATTGAAACTAAATAATAATATAAATATTAATAGGATTATTATTATTTTTTTGGTAGGGGATTTTAATGTGGCCATATATCGCGGCCATGGGGTTTGTGGTGTATATTGACCTCGTTTAGTGAAACAGTGCAATAGAATATAAATAGCAAAGTTAAAGCTCACAATCGTTGCAAGGGAAATAATTATAACAACTAAAATACATAACGACTATTTTGGTGGCGGAATAAATAGACGAAATTGCAAGCAGTTGGAAAGTGTGGTGTAACATATTCTGAATAAACCAAAAATAAATATTTAGATTTAAATGATGACATATTGTTGTAAAAAATCTACTATTTTTAAATAAGACTTTAAAAAGACATGCCTTGAACTCTGTTTGTTCCCTTTTTGACTTTATTGATTCTCTACGTTCTGTGTTTAGAAATCTATTGAAAAAAAAACACGGCATGGTAAAGAATAGGGATCAAAGTCGGGGGGTGAAAGATTCCTTTTGGGAATGAGAGGTCTTGGCAAGCATATTAAAATACCAAAGGAAAAATTCGGCGTGAAACAAACTTCCTAGTTAAAGCAGGATGCATTTTTTTCTGTTATCATGAAGTGCATCATGAAATCGCCTTGTACATTGTCCGTAACACTTAGTTCATGTCTAATTTGAAATATAATTAGTTTTATCCTTATGCTTAACGAATATGGTTGTGTATGCGCTTTAAGAAGGCTGGGAAATATTGCGAAATCACTTTGAAAATCATGGCAATGTTGCTTTGGCCATCTCTTAGCTCCGAGGCTTTAAAGGACCATATTCGCTTACATTGAAAAGTCGATGCAACCAAAATGAGGCACCGTTTGGTGCGAAATTTGATCCAGAGGCAAAATAAGGCCACCTTTCTTTGCAAATGGGCAAGGAGTGACCGTTACGTTATAGGGTTGTTAATGGATTTCTTTTTTTCACAAAAATCGAGGACGTGAATATTGGCAACATTCGGCTTTAACAGGATGGCGCTACGTGCTACACAGACGTAGGTACACTCGATGTTTTGAGCCTTGTTTTTAAAGAGCTCATTATCAGTCGCAGAGCTAATGTTGTTTGACAACCTTCTAGTTCTGATTTGACACCTTTGGACTATTATTTTTTTATTAAAGGAAAATATTCGGGAAGACATAAGTAAAACATGGCAGCACACAATCGATGTCTTAAAAAAATTGGACCAATGGTGTAGGCTACAGCTTGGCCAGCCGAGATGGCATTTTGAATAATTTTTTCTCCCCTAATTACCCGAAAAAGAATTTTGAATAAAGTATTTAGTAGTAAATAATTCGGTATATCTGTTTGTAGCTTGTGTACCTTATTTTTGAGTCAAATCGATTGTGTCATAACCCCCATAATGGAATGGAGATTAAGTTCAAAAAATCAGTCATAATCCCATAATAAAACGATTTTGGACACAAACACCATTATGGGGAAGGTATTGTTAACATGATTACGACAAAGTAATTTTTCGTGGGGGCAATTCCCAATTATCCGTTAATCTCAAAATCCGTTAATCAAAAAATCTGATATCTAACAAATGGGTATTTTTCAAAAGCTTATGAAAATGCCTATCCAACAAGCAGTCATATGTATTTTTTGAAAAAAATGGTATTTTTGTACCGGAATTTATAAAAAACAAGTAAAATAGTATCAGTTGGTTTTGACGACAGATGTGTACCCCCAGCCTTGAGTTATGATTATTCAAACAGTGACAATATTGACCAATTCGTATCTGATATAAATATTACACCGTGCCAGATTTGGACTATATCGACTACTTCCTATACTTTATATGAGATATGTGCAAATTTTTGGAAAATGTGGAAATATGCGTGAGGTAGACCGAAGTATTCTATTTTCATTCTTCATATAATACAGATAAAATATTGGAATGTGTAAAATTTGAAGGAAATCTAACATTTATATCCAGTTTTATGCGAAATCATAAATTCCATATTCATTTCAGGTTTCTGGTTGAGAGAAATATTTAGATATAGCAAGTTGTAAAGAATGGCTTACTTGTTTCGTAAGTTATGAAAGATAAAAGTGTTGAAGATTGTGACCCTTTGCGTGTGAGGTATTAGAAGGGGTTAACGTATATATATCATCTTCAAAACAGATCTTGTGTTAGCAAAAATATTTGCATGTGTTTGATTTCAAGAGAGTTTTATGCTTATTTCGCTTTCCTTGAGCGTTTTTTAAACCTTAAATCCTTTGTGGGGATGTACCAGAAGAAATGGTCCGATCTCTACCATATTTATAACAGATCTTGTGTTGATGGAAATATTGAGATGTACCAAGTCTGAATGGAATCGGATGTTAATTTGTCGTTTTATGAGTTTCATGGATACTCAAAATGTTGACTCTTTGTGGGGAAGGTACCAGAAGAAGTGTACCGATATATCCCATCTTCTCACCAGTCCTTGGGTTGATAAAAATATTGTGATGTGTGTTATTTGAAGAGAGTTAAATGCTTATTTCGGATTTTATGATCGTTTTGGTTATTCAAAACTTTCACCGCTTGGGGCGGGGGGATACCAGAAGGAGTGAACCGATATTCCATCTTCCCACCAGAAATTGGGTTATTAAAAGTATTGTGATGTAGGTAAATTGAAGATAATCGGACACTTACATCACATTGTATAAGAGTTATAATTATTCAAAATTTTGGCCCTTTTTGGGAGAGGTGCTGGATGGAGTGGACCGATATTGTCCATTTTTCGCACCTGACCTACCACTGATGCAAATATTAGTCTTTGCAAAGTTGGATTATCCTCTCTCTTTCTGTGCAGTAAATTATTTTCTTTGAAAATGTTGCCATTTTGTGGGAGGAGTGGACCAATATTGTTCATCTCCGAAATCGATCTAAGTTTAATAATACGATGTACCAGGTTTGGACCAAATCAGAGACCCCCTTCGAGAGTTATCGTACGCACCAGACAGACGGACGAACGGACATCGCTAAATAGACTCCAAATGTCCTGAAACGGCCAAACGTCATTGAGGCATGTTTTGACCGTATCAAATAATATATACCCTGAGGGGTATAAACACCCTAAAAAGTTGAAAATGGACCCATTATGGGGTAATAAGATCTACATACTACATTATAGCCTACATTCTTGCATTTCTAAAATGTAAGTTCTGTTATATAGTTTTTTGCTCATTTTGTGCATAAATATAAACATAAAAAAGTTTTTTCGTTTCTTAAATTTAATTTCAACAAAATAGATAAAATCATGCGAACGAAGGGTTGAAAAATTGATCAAACTGTCTAAACCTATTTTATCAAAAATATAATAGCTAAAAATCACCCTTTACTTTATTCTCAACTAATTCCATTTTTGTCTCGGTAATTATTCCAGCTGGTGTATTATCGTTATAGGATAGACAATGGTTCTACTTCGGCGAGAGAGTTCGTTTGACAACTTGTATTAAAACCCGAAAGTGGACATACATATTCGATTTGTTGAATTGTTCGCAAAGAAGGAAAATAATCGACTGGTGTTGTTTTTGTAATAAATAAGTTAATGAATTGTAAATTTCATATTTGACCTAGACATAGTTTTATATCAAGGCGGATAACACCGATTAAGACCACATAATTTTCCCAGAAATTTTTTTCAATATGCTACGTTACCAATCGTGATATATTAATTGCATCACAATGCCTTTCAAATGATACAAAAGTAAAATTATTATATTATTATTTTTAGTACAGTTTTATTGATTAACTTGATTTCTGTTACACAAATTAAGGTGTACTATTTATTCTAAAAGAAGCTTAAATTGTCTGTTGTAGTCGTGTGTTCTTTTTTTATACGGCAAATAGGCTTGATAGAAAAATGATAATTTTATTATTTATTGCTGCAAATTAAACTTAATTTTTATATTAATAATAGTAATAATAATTATCTTGTTCAAGGGAAAAAAATTAAATAATAATAATAAATGACAATCCAATCAAAATGATAATAATAATTTTGTTTTTTATTCTAGTGTTTGTATCGGTGTATTTTAGTGGGCAAAAATCTTTACTATGCTTCTATATTGATTTGTATGTATGTATGTTGCAGATTTAAAACATTCTTACCTACCGTTGTATACAAAAGGATTTCAAATAAATATCAGAACATAAATATAAATAGGAGTTTAAGTATAATATGGGGGAAAGTAATTACCAGTGATTTTTGTATATTATGTTGTTGTTTTGCTTCTGTGTTTCTGTTTTCTTCATTGTGTTATTAATTCAAATAAAGAATGTCTTACAAACTACAATTAGGACTATAAATAAAACTTGTAGATTTCTTCAGATGATTGATCATCTCTTTTTTTGTCTCTAAAATATTATGCCTTCTTGCTGCAAAAAATCATCGTGCCATTGCAATGGGGAACTAGACACAAGGTGCCATTGTGAAATTATATTAATTGGGTCTGGTTACAAAGAGAGAAACCAAATGAACTGTAAAAAACAAAAGAAAACAAATGTTTGTTATTCCAAAAACTGCAAGGTTATCACAAATCAAACAATACTCACATTCTATACAGTAAGATTTTTGTTTGATGAACCATTTTTTTCTATGATTTATTGTTGCTGTATAATCAGCGCCTCTCATTCTAAAGCTTTTTCAAGTAAGCAGCACATTTTACAGCGCTGCTAACCTGGCCCGTGCTAATAAGATTTAATTTCTTGTGCTTTGCCCGGAATTTCTTGACATAGGCATCAATCAAATTCTTGATCTTATTGGGATCGATTTCACCCGAACGACTGTGACAAATCTATATTTGGCATTGAATGAAATTGAAAAATACATTTTATTAGTTCGAACAGTTGATGGTGTGAGGATAAGCGTTTTAATGGTACCTTAGGCACAGCTCGTCGCATTATTTCCTTGTAATCTTCCTTTGTGATGTGTTTTTTGTTGTATCTTGGTTTCAATACCAATTTCACTTCCTCGACCACACGTTCTTGTCGATTCAATTTACGCAGGAACTAAATGGTGGCATAAATAAATAGATTGTAGTTTAGTTCCATGTTTGTTGTGGGAATACCATCATCACTTACCTTTTCCTTCAAATCCACTGACATATTTGATACTTCATTAAGATTACCTGCAAATTGAGAAAAGGTATTACATATTAATATTAGTTTTAACATAAATATACAAATGGAGTAATATAATTAAATAAGTAATCAATATGGAGTAAATTTTATTCATAGAAGTAATGGTTGAACTCTTATTCTTAAAACATAAAATAATCAAATAAATTGTTCATCAAATTGTCATTGGTCATTTAAAGTTTATACTACTGAACCAACAGATGTTGAAAATTTAAATAAAATTTTATAAGATATTTGCAAATTTCCATTACTCGAAAATTTAGAATTCGGCAGGAAAATATATTCTGTTGCATATTTTTAAAAATCACAGTCGAGTTGAAAGGAGACAACTGTGAACTAATTCATACTGCTGTCGCAATAAACGCTCCAGTTATTGTTGACGGTAAAATATGTTGTTGTAGCAGATTCACATAAGATAACTAAACAAGTACAGGGTGAGATTAAAAAACTGCAACCAGATTCAGACATTAACTAAGTATTAGGGGCAATGTACAGGGTGAGATGAAAAAACTTCAACCAAATTCAGACTACTGTAATTTTTTAAGCCACTCGTCCTACAGCTGTTAAAATCATTCCAGTGACAGCTCATTATATTGTTTACAAGCGTACAAAAGCATTTTGGTGAGAATATTCCAGAGATAAAGTTATTGCTGATGGAATTCAAGCGTGATAGTGTGATTTATTTATATTTGGCTGGAAAAACACAAGTGGCTATCGTTAGAGCACTCCAGCATTTAAATGGTAGCGTTCCCGACGTCATGGAAGTGGACGGAAGAAAACAGCAACATCAGCAGAAATGATTCAAAAAGTAAATAAGTGTATTGATCGAAACCCGGGTCGCAGTGGCCGAAAAATGACTCGTGAGCTGAACATATCGCAATATTCCATTCGGCAGATATTGAAAAATGTGCTCGGGGTAAAACCATTGAAATTCTAAAAAGTGCTAGAACTTACACCGCAACATAAAGAAAATAGACTGAAAAGAGCTAAAGAGTTGCTTCGCTTGACCGAAAGTGGTGAACTGCCGAATTTGGTTTTCTCCGATCTCCGATGAGAAAACATTCGTTGCCTAGCAGTTTGTAAACAAACAAAATGATCGTGTTTACTTGCCAAAGAGGTCAGCTTAAAATGTGCGCTTTCGGTTGGCCGGCCACCAGAACTCAAGCGCCGGCCATGGTGATGGTGTTGGCCGCCATAAAAGCCAATAGTCGCTTTTCGCTCGTATTAATCGACCGTGGCATCAGAATAAATGCCGAAAATTATCGCGAAAATATTCTGGAGGCCGCATTTTGGCCGCAGACCTTCCAACCGTACTCAGCACCATCGCACTCAGCACGCTTCATTTCCAGCGCACAATGGCCACCAAAATCTCCGGATACCAAACCGTTGGACTAATGTGTCTGGAGTATTTTGGAAAGCAAGGTTGACACAAAAAAATACCAAAGTGTCGATCACCTCAAGCAAGCGCTTCGCCGGGAATGGGCCAAAATACCGCAGAACAACATTCGGGCAGCGTGTGACGGTTTCATTGGCCGTTTGAAGGCCATGAATTCGTGTCTAAGGTGACCAATTCGAACAAATCTTAACTTATGCTAAAATTTGATGCTATTTTCAACATTTTTCGCTATCATTGAATACAATTTTGAAAAAAAAAAAAATAAAAATGATTGTGTTTGATTTTGTTGCGTTTTTTATCTCACCCTGTATTTTCTTTTCAAGAAAATAAATATTATTAATAATAAAACGAAATCAATGCAGGCCACAACTACCATATTATATACATATTTCCTTAGCCTAACATGTGCATTTTATTTATGTATTACTTTCAATTTATGAAAATTGTTAAAAAAAATATTAAAATTCAAAATGATTTCAAAATGCTTATTTTAACGTATGCAAGAAAAAAAACTTTCAAGCTTTGAAGCCTAAATGTGACAATTTTGCTCATTTACATAGGAGCTGATGGTGCTTCTTTTCTTCCAAAACCCAAACGTACGTAATTTTCGTACACATTACTATGATTTTCAAATCAATGTCGCAACATTTCCCAAACTAATAATATTTCAAATCAAACATTAACTACCTGTTAACATTTACGAAATAAGCACTAGTTGAAAAAAACTTTAGATTGTGGACCTTTTAGATATATTAGACGGTACACATTATTGTTCTCGTACAAAGAAACTGAACACCAAAACAAACGGAGGTTTCGTGGGTTTAAAGTAAAATGTGGGGTGGGAGGGGAAGTTGAAGCTACTGCTATTCAAATTGTTTTCAAACTAAATGTTAATTTTCTTTAGATAATGATGTAACCTCACTTCCATTTTAAAATAATCTATTTATTGTATTTAATTGTTGATTGAATACGGTAGAACTCTCCTATCCACAGGTCACATTTGTCAATATGATGGCGTGCAATTGCCAAATAGTGTTGAAATAAATTTTGTTCACCAAGGTTCATCAGGATCCTATGCCCTTTAATAATAATATATGCCCTTTTGTATAACTAAAGTAATTTTGAGTAATTTTTACACAAACACTTTTAAATTATTATTCTTCAAAAGGCTACATTTTGATGATGACAAATTTTCTCTTGATATCTCCAATTATATTTAAACACTTTTTGTGTTCAAAAGAAGAGAACACATGTAAAGAAACACGTTGGATTTGGGAATTTCAAAATTGCGATATCTTAGAAATTATAGATTGAGTGGGATTGAAAAAACAAAAACCGATATCTGGATGTTTATTTATACCTTGTAGTTCTATCGTAATAGTGTCGAGGTAGAAATCGACCGGAAACATATCATGGTGTCATGCCTGCAATTGAACTCCTTGGGCTACAATATTGCCCAAAAATAAAAATTGTTGGGTAATGGAATGGAATGTCTATGGTATGGTTGTACATATAAGAGGTAATACTTCGTTACAGTTATTGTTTCAAATTCTAATTGTAACTTGAAATGGGGTGATTTCTTAGCTGTAATGGTTAAACCGCTTACGCACATTTCGTATTTTTTGTTTCAAAGATATTCCGTTTGGTCTCTAATTTAACCATTAATCGTCTTACAAACGAACAAGCTTGCTATTTCAAAATTTTGACCCTTTACGGGAGAGGTACCAGAAGGAATGGTCGGATCTCTGCCATTTTTATAACAAATTCTGTGTTGATGGAAATATTCAGATGTGCCACGTCTAAATGGAATCGGATGTTAATTTCGCGTTTTATGAGCTTAATGCATATTCAAAATGTCGACCTTTTGTGGGGGAGGTACCAGAAGGAGTGGACCAATATATTCCATCTTAACACCAGATCTTGGGTTCAGTCCAAAAAGTTGCATCGCTACTAATTACAGGCGCATTTAGACGCCCTACTCAATTTAAAATCGTTAGGTTTATTCGTAGAGGAACAAGCTGCTAGGAGTGCCCTGCGGCTCAATGGCGGGGTCAGCCATTCGGACACTCCGCCATTATCAAGTATGTGGAAAGTATAGTAAATCAGGACCTAAGCATAGCTAACCACTTGATATTCACATACCTAACATAGACATTTGGACTCGTGACACTCCACCTTTTAACGGTATAGCTGTCTATACTGATGGATCAAAGATGGAAAGTGGAACGGGAGCCGGAGTCTACTGTGAAAGTTTAAATATCCGACGATCCCTCAAATTAAACAACAACTGTAGTGTTTTTCAGGCAGAAATCTTCGCTATCAGGAAGGCCATAGAGCTGCTGGCAAATAGAGTCAATGAACTGGACGTACCGGTGACTATATATGTCGATAGTCAGGCGGCCCTGAATTATTTTACGATCAAATCTATGGCGGTTCTGGAATGCAGGAATACTCTGGAAAAGGCTATAACGTTTGTCAAACTCTGTTGGGTCCCTGGACATTTTAACATATCTGGCAATGAATCTGCTGATGAATTGGCCAGGCGCGGATCTGAGTCCGTAGATCTAGGGATTGAGAGCTCAGTGAGACCACCCTTATGTCACTTTTTCCAAATTCTGCATAAGCAATATTTTGGGAATTTTCAGCAAAACTAGCTATCTGGAAGGGGATGTAATGTCTCCAAAAAGATCTGTCCGATGATCTCCGAAAGGAGATCTAGGTCACACATATCCATGACGAAGCTGGACTTGAAACTTGTGGTAGGCCTAATTACAGGACACTGCAACATTAAGGCCATGACATCCAAATTTGACGATACTGAATACTGCAGGCTTTGTCAGGACGAGGAAGAAATTGAGACGGTGGAACACTTACTATGCCACTGTCCAACTCTTACAGGAGCGAGACAGAGGCTACTGGGTAGGCAAATTCTGTCGGATTTGTCTTCCCTCTCCGACACTGAACCAGCAGTCATCCTTCAGTTAGCCAGACGACTAAAATGGCTAAAGACGATGCGTTAACAAACCGTGGACATAAACCTCTTAAACTCTCTATTCTCTATACAATTTCTTATTTCTTCATTCCTAGCTATTCATTCCTTTTCTTTCTCTAGCCTACTCTTATATTTTCCTAATTAGGATGAACACAATGGACCAAAAGGTCTCCGATTGGAGTGGTTGTATTTTCTTACAACCACGCATTCTTTAACCTAACCTAACCTAACCTTGGGTTAATAAAATCATTGGGATGTGTGAAATTTGAAGACAATCGGACTCTTACATCACATTTTATAAGAGTTGTAATTATTCAAAATTTTTATACTTTGTGGGGGAGGAACATGATGGAGTGGACCAATATTATTCATTTTTGCACCTGACCTAGAACTAACGCAAATATTAGGATTTGAAAAGTTGGAGAAAATCGGATTATTGCTTTAAAATCAAATTTTAAACAAATCAGAATGGAACAACCATTATATTATTTTGTACTCGTCTAAATGTATTCAATATCATTTTACATTTGCTGCACATTTACTACTTTTTCGAATAAGAGAAAGCATGATGGATCAACAATTTTTTCGTTGCTCTACAGATC